GGACAGCCCGAGTGGGCGGCCCTCCGGCACACAGCATCAGGCTGATGTCACTCCCTGGCCGAGGCTCAAGATGGGCCGCCCGCCCAGCGCTCATGTGCCTGGCTGTGACGTCAGGCTGCGAGCGCAGTCTCTCCGACCCACGGCACCTGCCAAAGTCCTGAGCCAGCACTGTCGGGGGAGCGGCCCTGCTCTGTCCCAGCCCCCGCCACGATACACACCATACCCGCCTGTCCCGGGAGCTCCACAAATAGATCAAAGTGCGACTCGACTGTCCCCAGCGCTGAATATAACCCTGGCACAGGCTGAAAGGGTAACGTGAAAGGCACATGGGACACACTGTCCTGATTGCACAAGACTAGGGGCTGCTCCAAACAGAGGGATAAACTCCACTCTTTCCCCAAAATAGAGACCTAAAGGACGGAGTGGTCCTGGTCATGTCGGTGTAGCCTGGAACCAGGCTCTGCTCTCTCCAATGGAAGCCACTTGAAACCCATCCCTCCCCCTGTGTCCCCTGTAGAGATGCCCCCCCACCCACCTTCCCCATGCACCGATAACCCGTCGCCCCGGTGACACTCACAGACTTGACGATGGAGGGGAGCCCCCACTCGGTGCTGAGCAGCCTGTTGCTGTGCAGCCGGCCATGGGGGTCCACGTGCCGGTCCAGCACGTCCACGCCGACCACGCTGGGGTTCATGGGGTTGGGGTACTTCTGCATGGCCGCCTTGGTCACCGTCTCCCACGGGTGGCTGCAGAGGACACGGCAGGGTGAGACAGGGGCTGGGTCGGCGGCATGCCGAGAGGAACTTGCTCCATCACCTGCCCACAGCCAGCGTTTCCGGCGCAAGGACAGATATGTGAAAGACTCAGTGAGGTCGCCGAGGACACACTGCTCTGAAACAGCACGGGCTTGACTGTACAAGATCCGGTCATGAAAGACGGCTTCACCCTTGGTATTCTGACATCACAGCTGATTGTCTTAATACCTGGGAAAAGGCCAAGAGGCCCAGGCCTTCAGGAACGTGCACAGATTCTAAAGTGAGTGGGATTAGAAACTTCCCAGGAGACACATCTCACATGACATAAGGATAAGCTGAAGTGCTCTGTCCACCTGCACTTGCTATAAGCAGTAAAAGGTTAAATATTTAGAGCAGCTCAATCACTCTGTTGTTTGTCCCAGAATGGTCAACACAGAGGACTTCAACAATCAGTCCTTTTACGACATCTGATCTGCCAGCCCTTTCCCTGCTGGTACAGAATGTACTCAGCACATCAGAACTGTCACAAGCTGGTACGACCTCTTCTCAGACACATGGAAAAAAAGATACACCGCTGAGAACCGGCGGCGCAGGACCTGAATTCTCTGAATTCGTGATTGTGCCT